GATTACATTGATTGTGGATCTCAAATGTAAATCAAAGCAAGAAAAATCCTCAAAAGTCCTTCATACATTAAATACTCAAACTATTTTTTTTGGTTGCTCTTGAAGGGTCTAAAACAGACTCTGATGGATCAAGTTTGAGACAATTAGGAAAATTTTCTTGCTGTAACTAACAAAGCTAATTACTTTCGGAAGAACGCTCCTTATATTACAACAAATATCTGAATGTCATCAACTGATCTAAAAAATAATTCGGTATAAATATAGTGAACTTTCAAAAAAAAAAAAACAGGGCTGAGACCTAAAAAAACATTTGCGAAACTTATTGATGACGCCTTGTATATGCAATTTGAATATAAAATTATAAAAATTGATTAATGAATGGCTTTTAATATTTGATTTCTCTTTGAAAGTGACGGGTTTCTTAATATAGAAAAAAAAGAATGAAATGGAGTTCTACTTGAAATAAATCTTAAATTAAAATGATTTACATATATTTAAATGATATGTCGTATCTCGTAGGACGAGTTAGAGGAAAGGTTTCGTCTGGTTTACTCCGCTTCCTATGGAGCTTGTCTGACACAGAAAATCCACGAAAATATTCAAAAATCTCAGATGGAAGTTTACTGCGCTTCAGAGTAAGAATAGGGTGTCTCAATATAAAGGAGTTTATGCCACAAACTCTAATTCTAACCCCTTTTATCTTTGCAGATCGATGTAAATATTATACCTTTAATATTTCAGACTATAAATTCTGTTAGATCAAACAGTCAAAGTTTAAAAGGTTTACACCATCAGGATACAAAGATATATAAATCAGAAATTTTGAGAATTCTAGAGACTAGTAGTTAAATGTGATCACGAAATAATGGAACAAAGATTATTGTCACTTTATTTCCATGTTTATTGTGACATCAAGCAGAATATAAAAGTTCATTTGAGTGAATTTTCTTTTGAGAAATACTATAATAATAGTATGCACAAATCAATAATTAAGAATAAAGCTTCCCTATGACATCATTACCATATTTTTGTCTATTTCTTAAATTTTGGTTTTCAAGCAACCATTTTTTTGTAATTGTAAAACTCAAAAGTTTATAAATTGTTCGAACGAACTTGAAAAATACATTGTTTTTACTGAACGTACAAATTTTTCAAAAGATTTCGCCACACGATCGATTTTTAATGAGCTAACGATTTTTTGAAACAAAATTCTAAAAACTGTAAGTTTTTTTACTAAATAAGCGATATTTTATCACAAACTTTTGAAAACACGATAGTTTTTTTTACGGAACTTCACATTTTATTGAAAGAACAATTTAAAAAAACAAAACAATTTTTCTGAACGAAATTAACGAAATTTTTAAGAACGATGAAAATAATTTTTTTGAACAATTGAAAAAAATGAGTCATCCACGAACGATAAACGAACAGAATTAGAGAAAAAAAGGAACGTGCTCATCTCTAATTATGAAACCTGAATTGAATATTTGGTTCTTCTAGAGGATACAGTCTTCAACTGCTGTTAATGGGAGCAGGAGATGAGAGTGATTTTGTTCTTGGATACTGGATACGGGCAAAGAGACAGGTCAAATATGGAAAATTAGAATTTTTACCATTTTTTCAAATTGAGAATTTTCCTCTTTGTTTTATTAAACTAGACAATATATAATTTTTTGCATACAGAACCCTGCACCCCAGGTTCTCAACCGGTGATATAAAAAGTATCGTTTAATTAAACTCCCAAGTTTCCTTTTAGGGCAATATACATTTTTGTAGATTTACATAAAGAAATAAAAAATAAAAAGATGATTTAAAACTAACCATGAAAATAACATTTCGTAGACAAAATGGTTGATATCTACGAAATTGCTTTCCCCCATTCGGTTTCCGATACTAGGTTTCAATACGATACCCTGTCTTAAGTTTGGGCAATGCCAGGTCCCGCTGCACAAATTTCAAATCAATATTTCCAGTTAGGTTTCTTTTCTCGTTTGTTCTTTGTAAGGTTTTGCTAATTCAAAATCTTACATGTTTGTGTAGATTATTATTTCATTCTTTCTGGGGGTATTTTATATGTCAAGTGTGTTAGCATTTATCAACAGATTTTGAAAAAAAAGATGACAATATGAAAAAAATATGACTGAAAATGATAATTATTTAGTCTTCCCTATTAAGCATTCTAGGTTTACAAAGTAAACATTTTAGGAATGTGATTTTTGTGGAATATAATCCTTAAAATTTTGCGGATTATCATCTAAAACATTTTACGGAATATGATCTTAAAAGCTTTTGCGGAATAAAATCTAATTTTTTTACGGAATATGATATAAAGAATGTTTGCGAAATATATATTTTCTGATTCGTCAATGTTTAGGTTTACTATCTGAGCGAAGGATTTGCTGCAGTAGGTTCGTATTTATCATTATCTAATTTAAAAATATTGAAATATAGTATATATATTTATACCTTTTTTCAGTTTAAATATACATTTTATATATATTTTTTCCATTTTTTAAAAATATATTTATATCGATTGCTACATACAATGTCTAACAGAGCGTTTTTGGGACATCCTGTATATATATACAGGATGAGTCAAAATCACAGAATCGCAGAAAATTTGCAAAATTGTAATATGAAAATTCACAATTTTCAGTTCTGGTCTATTTTATACCAAAAAATTGTTTTTCATTTGTTCTCAAGGTTTCAACTGAACAACGTATATTTAATACTTTAGAATATACTAAGAAGAAAGGAACTATAAGAGAATTTAAATAACTTTTCCCTAAAAAATAGACCAGAACTAAAAATTGCGAATTTTCTGTGATTCTGTGATTCAATCTTTTTAAAATTTTAGATTTCGATAGAAATAATTTAAATACACATTTTTGCTTTTCTGAGCTTTTAATTTTGAGAGAAAAAAAAGGTTCGCAGATTTTTTTTGGGCCATTGGAGTACCAAAAGAGTTACAAATTTCCCAAAAATATTAAAAAAACACCATACAGAAGAGTTGCACAAAAAAGGTACAGTTTTGCACCAGGCGCCGGAAATCACACTTTTTAAATTACCCTGTAAATATACAGGATGTCCCAAAAACGCTCTTTTAGACATTGTAGCAATCGATCGGAAGTCAAAATTGTCCAAAAGTTTAAAATTAAACTTTGGTGTCGAGTGCATTGTACAATGTCTATAAGAGTAGTTATTTTGAGACACCCTTTATTCATGAATTGAAAACTGAATATAATCTTAATCTTTACTTTAGAAAAAAATATTGTTACCATTTTAATTTCAAGAAAAAACTATAATAATTTTAGTATTATCAAAGAAAGTGTTTACCCGTGTGAACAAAAGATCTCGTGGTTGCAGGGCGGCTAAATCAACAAGGTTTACAGATATTGAAAGGTAGTTCACGTTTAAATAATGGGATAGTTCAATTTTCAAAACATCTTTAGGCAACCTAAATATTACCGTTTTTATAAATTTGGACCTTTTATCTAAAAATTCAACGCTTTGCTAGTGTGAAAACGACGATTTTTCCCCACTATTGCTGGGATATTTCCCCCATTATTGCTGGGATATTTTCCCCATTATTGCAGGGATATTTTCCCCATTATTGCTGGGATCTTTTCCCCATTATTGCTGGGATATTTTCCCCATTATTACTGGAATAATTTTCCCCATTATTGCTGGGATATTTTCCCCATTATTGCTGGAATATTTTCCTCATTATTGCAGGGATATTTTCCCCATTATTGCTGGGATATTTTTCCCCGTTATTGCAGGGATATTTTCCTCATTATTGCTGGGATATTTTCCCCATTATTGCTGGAATATTTTCCTCATTATTGATGGGATATTTTCCCCATTATCGCTGGGATATTTTCCCATTATTGCTGGGATATTTTCCCCACTATTGCTGGAATATTTTCCCATTATTGCTGGGATATTTTCCCCATTATTGCAGGGATATTTTCCCATTTTCCCCATTATTGCTGGGATATTTTCCCAATTATTGCAGGGATATTTTCCCCATTTTTGCAGGGATATTTTCCTCATTATTGCTGGAATATTTTCCTCATTATTGCTGGAATATTTTCCCCATTATTGCTGGAATATTTTCCTCATTATTGCTGGGATATTTTCCCCATTATTGTTGGATATTTTCCCCATTATTGCTGGGATATTTTCCCCATTATTGCTGGGATATTTTCCCCATTATTGCTAGGATATTTTCCCCATTATTGCAGGGATATTTTCCCCATTATTGCTGGGATATTTTCCCCATTATTGCCGAGTCCCCATTATTGTTGGAATATTTTCCACATTATTGCTGAAATATTTTCCTCATTATTGCTGGAATATTTTTCCCATTATTGCTGGAATATTTTCCAAATTATTGCAGGGATATTTTCCCCATCATTGTTGGAATATTATTCCCTTTATTGCTGGGATATTTTACCCATTATTGCTGGATATTTTCCCAATTATTGCAGGGATATTTTTTTCATTATTGCTGAGATATTTTCCCCGTTATTGCTGGGATATTTTCCCCATTATTGCAAGGATATTTTCCCCATTATTGCAGGGATATTTTCTCCATTATTGCAGGGATATATTCCCCATTATTGCAGGGATATTTTCCCCATTATTTCTGGGATATTTTCCCCATTATTACTGGGATATTTTCCTCATTATTGATGGGATATTTTACCCATTATTGCCGGGATATTATTCCCATTATTGCAAAGATATTTTCCCCATTACTGCAGGGATATTTTCCCCATTATTGCTGGGATATTTTCCCAATTATTGCAGGGATATTTTCCCCATTATTGCAGGAATATTTTCCCCATTANTTTAGGTCAGAAACTATATAAACAATAATAAAAATAATATTTCAGTTCAGAAACTATAAAAACAATAATAAAAATACTATTTTAGTTCAGAAACTATATAAACAATAATAAAAATATTAATTTTTTTAGAAAACAATAATAAAATGTTTCTCTTCCATAAAACATCCCTGCTTCAATGTTTTAGGGCCATTATATTCCTCTGCTGTGTTGGGTGCTTTTTTGGTAGTACTCTTTAGCATCTATATATTTACTTTGCTGGTCTGTTTTTCTGTCTGTCTGTTTGTTTGTATCCAATAAACGTCAAAACGGCTGAACCGAGCAGGCCCAAATTTTGTCTGGGACCACACATGACCCCTGGGAAGGTTTATGAATGATCAAAATTTTAAAAATGTGTCGTCAACAAAATTTGATTTTCATTACATTTTAAAATTCAGAAATTTTTATTATAAAATCCGGGAACTTTTTTTGGTTTTGGTTTTCTTAAATTTTATAGTTATACATATGTAATGTTTAAGTTGCCGTGTTCTATGTTGGCCAGGAATATATTGAGCAGAAGACCTATATTGATACAACTGTTGATGACAATGCTGCAGATATTGGTCAAACATTATCAACTGTTTTCTGCTTTAGGCCTGCGTTGATAGGTTAACTGAATTTGTATTTAATTTATTTTTCATACTCAACTCTTGCCACAAACGCTTTTCTCATATTTCTTATTTCCTTGCAACCTGAGGGCGAACACCTTTCATATTTTAAACTAAGACTAGACTTTTTGATTGTTAGAATTCATTTTTAGATTTCAGAAGACTGTGACAACAGGTTGCAAAGATATAGAGGTTAAAAAGTTAGCTATTTTGGCGAGTAAATGGTTCCTTAATGTACTAATTTTCTAATTCTTTTATCAATTCTCACCCCAGCACAAATGACACAAAGCGTATCGTGCAACCTAAGAGTCGACAAAGTGCTCAACCCCAGCACCAACGATCCAAAGCTATGCATGATCCCACCGAGATTGAGGCCTAGATGCATGAGAGAACCTGCTGTCAAGATGCTGTTAACCTGCATGCTGCCAATATGAAGCTCCAGCTATTCCCTGTTCTTCATAATCATGATAACCATTAATAGTACATATTGTTTTCCAACCTTTTAAAATGCCTCTATAGGAAACTATTTTAAAACTTTTATATTTCAAATAATTTAATAAAGTTATCGAATAGCCGTTATTTCTTTTATTTAGCTGACTTGTATGTCAACAACCTCATATCTTTGAAACCCGATGTAGTGCACCTAGCTTTGATATTTCAAACTAAGAATACTATATAGATCAAATAATCTATGTAAAACAATATTTGTATTCTAGGCAATGAAAGTGCAGGTTTGAAAGATGTTGTGAGTAGCCTCGTGACCCCACTGAAAATTGGCTCAGGCTTTCTTTTCACTGGAGAAGTAGCAAATTATACCGATGTATGTATATAATTTCGTTTAGTCAATATTAGGATTTCTGCAGCACACGCGCAATTGC